CCCAATTCTTAACAGGACATGGATCTTTCAGTAAATACTTGTACAACCTGTAAATTTATAGAATCTATCCTGTGCCCGGATTGTTGCACGGTCGATACCCCGGAACATGTCTTTGTCTACTTGAGTTACGGTACTGCGGTACTACCTTACTTAATTGGAAATGACCGTAAATGAAGAAATCAAGTGACCTCACACCTACCATCACTGATAAAGAAAGTGCTTTCAACTTAAGTTATAAGCGGAAATAACAATAAATGAAACGATCTTATTACCAGGAAACTCACCATAAATTTTGTTTTACATCAACTGCACATTTTCCAAATCTGTAATAAAGTTAAAAGAACAACTGATTACTTCAGAAGGTTGTTGACTAATCTTAGAGTGTCACATGTGTGTCAAATGTGTCACATTTTCAGAACTCCACCCATTGAAATTTTGATCGAGAAAAGCTAAGAGCCAACGTTACCGTGAACGTTGTTTGAACGTTGTCGACAAACGTTTCGGTGAAGCTTCTTGGAACATTGAGGAAACGTTTTTTAGTATCGTTGCGGCAACGTTTTCGGAACGTTATAATGACGTGAACTTGAGGATTGCTGCGTGCGCAGCACTGCTTGGCGAGCAGCGCTGCACACCCCTACATGGCGTGCGAAAGTCTGATTTTGGCATTAAAAATTTGACTGCATTAGGCAGAAAGGAACATCGTCACATCAGCTGTTGCCAAATTTCACCGTACAATTTATTTTTTTACAGGAAAACGGGTTCAAAAGGTTTTGCTGTGAAATTTCCGCCGAGTATTTGTTTCTTACCCCCTTTAAAAATTTTAGGGACATATTCAAAAGAATCTGCATTACTGTCCTCCCGTAAAAAAACCAAAAAAAAACAAAAAAAGAAAAAAACAAATTACCCATCGATGAATATTAACAAAAGTTGTTGCGACTTGTTTCCTTCCTGCTTAATGCAGTCAGCGGTCAAAAATGCATCGATGCATACTGCCTAAGTCAGTAGAATTTTCCAGCCCCGTATCCACACATCACTACATCAAGGATAGTTTTACAATAAGTTTGTTCAGAGGACAGACTCAAACCCTCACCTCCTCCGAAGTATGTTACACAATACTTCAGTCATCCCATAAGTCCATGTCTATTTCATCCAAGATCATTACATCACTGAGAAATTTTTATCATCATGCTGTGATTCCCTCTAAAATTTTCTACAGCCCCAGCCTATCATTAAATAGTCTCCGAGCACCCCCTAGTCTATTTTTAATAAAAATTGCTTAAAATTTAACAGTAATTACATGCTAGCAAACCC